TGGAAGCAGAAGGTGCTCCATGTACTGTGGTACTTTGGTTCCTGTGAACTTTTATCTTTACATAGTGAGTTTGTCCTATAGTGGTTCCATATTCTTTATATTTTAACCGTCTTATTTCTCAACCAGTACTTATGCTATTGAAGTATGTATTAAGAGCCAGAGGCAACATAATCTACTGTGGTTCTCTCCTAGGTTGTGTTTTTTGAAGTTCTCACTAACTTCATGTTTCTGGTGTAGTTTTCCTCAGCTTCTTCCACTTGAATGGCTTCTTGTTTTACTGTTCCAGTCATCACAGCAACAAACGTTGCATAGCTTGCATAACCCCGTTATGAAAAAGACCGAGAGTATCTCCACGTATCTAGAAAAAGACAGCAAACCAAACTCACTTAGAGTTGTGGAATCTGGAGTAAAATGTTAGCAAACTAAATTTAACTGTGAACTGAAAAACAATTCTCTAGGACATAGTGTAGCTTTCTTGGAATGTAAGGATGGCTCAGCAGTAGCAAATCTGGCGTAATTCACTGTATGAACAACTGTGTCTTCCAATGGGCATGGGAAGCGTTTGATAAGGTCAATCACGACCTCTGACTTCATCAGAAAGACACATGCCATGGCCAGTGAGATTGAGTAGGTGGTGTTTTCTCCTAATCATTGCACAGCTCACGTATAACTTACAAACTCTAGTCAGATCCTCTGGGGTACTCATTTCAGGACTGAAAACGGACTTTAAATTAGAATGCCTCTTCGGCTTGACTTCATATTTTAGATATATAATATTAAAATTTTCAGTATTTTAAATATGGAGGTACCCTGATAGGACCTCATTTTGTTTATTGGGCAGAGTATACTGTCTTTTAAATCTGTTGTCTTTTGATGAATAGCTCTTACCAACTCTCTTGATTTCTGCATTGAGGCCACTAAAGCAGACAGAATGGCAGAGGGTTCCATTAATGAGCATGTGCTGCTGCATGGAGTCGAGTAGGTGCTAAGTTAAGCGGCTACAGGACAGAGAAGCAGCCCTGACCCGTGGGTTTGGAGAGCAGGGTGGGTTCTGAGCCGACGGCTGTCTGGAAACAGCTCTTCAGCACCTTGTTGGTGGCCGGGCCATCTTCTATGATTTGTGGCGGCGTATTTAGAAAGTAGAAAGGTCTCTTGTAGTAAAACCTTAACATCTTCACGAACTCGGAAATCACCTTGTGATGAATATTTCTTGGTAGAATACAATAAATAAATCAGTTATTAAAGGACAGCCATCTGTTTTGTAGGCATAACTACAAACAGAAGATAACACTTTAATAGTAGTTTAAACTCTTTCATTATTAGGTCATTAAAAGGAAACTACGTCTTTTTTTCTTTTAAGTTAAAGCATGTTGTAGAGGCAATTAGAAAAGTATTTCCTTATATTTAAATGGATTATATTACAGGAAAACTTGATTCAGAATGTTTCATTAACTTTTTAATAAATTTCTTTTGTTGATTTTCATCCTGGATATTCTACATAGTTGTTTCACAATCTGTCTTTCCATGATAGAGTTGCAGTGTAAGGTTGTTACCAAACGGCCATAGTAGGAAATGGTGACTTCCCCCTTAATGGACCAGTCTGAAGGAAGCTGATTATTTCAATGTTCAAACCACCTTCTGGTTTAATAGTTTGGCTAAGTGGCGCTTGTTGATAAAATGTTTGCTGATTTGTTCTAAAACATTGCCTTTTCCTTAAATTTCAGTTCCAAGAACCCAGAAGAAGCAGAACTAGAAGATACACTCAATCAAGTGGTAAGGTGCTTAATAGTCATACCCGTTTTAGTGGCCATTCATCTGACAGTTGTTTTAAGGTTATTTATATAAGGGCATTTGAAATATGAAAAATAATGGAATCATTTACTTTATTTTGAATCTGTGGTTGGCTCCTTAAATTTGAGTCATTAATCATTTTTAAATTTTATTTTATATTTTTATTGATTTCAGAGAGGAAAGGAGAGGGAAAGAGAGATAGAAACATCAGTGATGAGAGAGAATCATCAATAGGCTGCCTCCTGCACGCACACCCCCTACTGGGGATCGAGCCCACAACTTGGGCATGTGTCCTTGATTGGAATCGAACCTGGGACCCTTCAGTCTGCAGGCTGATGCTCTATCCATGATCCAAACCAGCCAGGGCTGCGGCATTAATTTTAACATTTGTACATTCCACATAGTACTAAGTCCAGACCAAACCGATGTTATTTAAGTATGTTCAGTCTATGAGTATATTTAAAGACTATGGGGCATCATTATTTTACCGTGATACCAAGCCAGATAAAGTATATGTGTTGGCCCTGACACGCATCAGACTGGGAGGCCCTCAGTGTGCTCTTTCTGTGGCTTTGCCAGATGGTTGTCTTCAAGTACATAGAGGACAAGGATGTGTTCCAGAAGTTCTATGCGAAGATGCTGGCCAAAAGACTCGTGCACCAGAACAGTGCGAGTGATGATGCCGAAGCAAGCATGATCTCCAAATTAAAGGTAAAGTTCATCTTTTCCTGAAACAATCTCTTTCTTAAGCCATTACTAAGTTTGTAGTTTCCCCAGAAATATTATTATTAGTTGGGCAAAGCAATTCATCAGTGTATAACGAGGAGTTTGTACAAGGTGAGCTCTGCTGAAAACCTGCCAGAATCACATAACAAGTCTAGGTCCTCCCTCAGACCTCCCCACTCTTGGGGCCTTCTTTTTTATATATATATTTTTATTGATTTCAGAGAGAGGAAGGTGAGAGGGAGAGAGAGATAGAAACATCAATAATGAGAGAATCATCGATCGGCTGCCTCCTGCACGTCCCACACGGAATGGAGTCGGCAACCTGGGCATGTGTCCTGATGAGAATCGAACCGTGACCTCCTGGTTCATAGGTTGACGCTCAACCACTGAGCCACGCCAGCTGGGCTCTTAGGGCCTTCTGTTCCTGCCTGGCCTGACTGCTCTGCCCACCACCTGAGCCCAAGCACTGGCCCATCAGGATTGCACAGCACGGCGTGCCCGCACACACTGCTGTTGGCTTTGGGTGATTGGGTGTTTGGCTTTGCTCTGGGTTTGGTTGTATCTGCAGGACAGAAAGTCATTTTACTTTGCTATTGAGAAGTTTTTTCTTTCTTCCCAGCCTCTGCACGTAGCCTGCATTTGTTTCCAGGCTTTCTGGCCTGTCAAGTGTTGTTATGTCTTAGAGCTATTTCACTTTGACCTGCAATTATAATTATGTGGGTGTCTCACTTAGCTTGGGCCTCATAAAAAAATACCATAACTGGGTAGCTTAAACAACAGGCATTTATTTCTCACAATGATGGAAGCTGGGAAGTTGGGGCCAGCTAAGGTTGTTTCTGGTGAGGGCTCTCTTCATGGCTTGCTGATGGTCACCTTCTTACCATGTCCTCACATGGCAGAGAGAGTAAACTTGCTGGTGTCTTCCTAGAATGGCTATTCCCTCGTGGAAGTTCATCCATGTGGCCACATCTAAACTTCACGATCTTCCTGTGGCCCACCTCCAGACACAATGACGTTGGGGGTTGGGGCTTCAACATAGGAATTTGGGGGACATAGTTCACCTGTGTGTTCTGCCAAAGAGTCACAAATTCTTGACCTTAGATGCTCAAGTGATAGTTATCATGTGTATAATGACTTAACTGTTCCGTTTATACCTCTGTTATTTAATGGTATATTAATCAAACCAGTGCATATTTATACTGTGAAATGTAGTTAACTGGCACAAGCTTTAGTAGTAATTTAACAGTGAAGCATGTGTCATGTACTGTGATTGCTCTCAGATTCCCTTGTGTACGTTTATATTTCTATAGAAGTTAATAAGACCATTATCTGGGTCTATTTCAGCAAGCATGTGGGTTTGAGTATACCTCTAAACTTCAGCGGATGTTTCAGGACATTGGCGTGAGCAAAGATTTAAACGAACAGTTCAAAAAGCACCTGACAAATTCAGAGCCACTGGACTGTGAGTATCTGCATGTTCACAAGTTCCTTTTACAGGCAGTGTTCTGAGCAAAGTCGTGCCCTTTATAGCAAATGAGAGAGATGGCAGTTGTCAAGTAAGCGTGGTGGATCCTAGCAAAAATCCAAGCATAGACAAACAAGGAGTTCCTCCCAGATGCTCTGTTCTACTCCTGATTCCTGTGCGACATTAGCGATGACAGCCATGGGAGCGTGCTGGCCTCTCCCAGGGGCCTATTCTGAGCATGGCTTGCAGGGAGTTTGGGCAGCTGAGTTGGTGGCTACATCCAGGTCCTGAGCTGAGAACTCTTTGACTTGCTGGCATGGCCCCCCTACCACGGGTACCTGCCAGCTCAGGACTTCATGCAAAGTTTAATTTTTTATGATTTTTATGATTATTTTTAATCCTCACCCAAGTACATGTTTTTATTGATTTGAGAGAAAGAAAGAGAAACATCGCTCAGTTGCCACCCGTGCACGTCCCAATCAGGGATCGACCCTGCAGTCTGGGCATGTGCCCCGACTGAGAACAAACCTGTGACCTTTCAGTGTTTGGGACAATGCTCCAACCAACTGACCTGTACCAGCCAGGGCTAATTATTTTTTTTAATCTTAGTTCGGATCCATTCTAAAAAATTTTTTTTCTTCGTATAAGAAACTGATTTGGCCATATAGATAACAAAGTCAAACTAATATAGAGCATGTGGCTTCAGGTGGGCATTGGGAGCTGGGACAGGCTGGGCTCCTGTCGTAGGTCTTCTGCAGCGGAGGGTGGTAGCTTATACTGACGTCATCAGTCATTTTGTCTTTCTGAAAAAGGGGGGGGGGGGGGGGGTTTCTCCCAAAGTGAAGGAACTATTCCATTGCTGACTTGACAGCTGAGCAGTGGCCTGGTGGCAGCTGTTTGTGTGCTGCATGGCTGTGCGCGTTCGGGTGTCCCTCTGTGCCTCGACTACAGCAGATGAAGGAAGCAGGCCTCTGATGTCCTGATTCCGAGTTAGGCGTGAAACAAAAAAACTCTTCAGAGGAAAAGAATTTCTGGCTTTCCCACCTTTTACTGATTTTAATTGAATAAATAATTTAATTGAAATTAAATTCTGAGTTTTATATTGAAGCAGGATTTTGATTGTGTTTTAATAAAGAGTGTTTTCCATTTTCTAAAACTAATGAGTTGTCTCCCTGATTTCCACCCACCCCAGTGGACTTCAGTATCCAGGTGCTGAGCTCCGGCTCGTGGCCCTTCCAGCAGTCCTGCACGTTCGCCTTGCCGTCAGAGGTGAGTGTGCCCTCTCCTCCGTTCACTGCTGAGGGCAGATGGTCTGTGAAGGCCTTCCTGCTGGGCCACGTGCCACGCCGTCCTGTGGCTGCCTCTGTTCCACTCAGCAGAGTGCCTGCCTTCCCTCCTGCACGTGGGACCTAGTGAGGGCTGTGACGAACATCATGACTGGTCCCACCTGTCTAAAGTAGAAACCTCTTTTGATTATACCTTCAAATGTTTAGTTTCCTGTGCTTTGCAAGAGTCCAATGCATGGCATTTGTATTTTACTTTGATGTAAGCACTGACTTTGTAAACTCGGAATAGTGTTTATCTGAAAAACATGATGAGATATGTATTCACATAATGCTGTCCCTTCCTCCAGCTGGAACGTAGCTACCAGCGATTCACTGCTTTCTACGCTAGTCGTCATAGCGGCAGGAAGCTGACATGGTTGTACCAACTCTCCAAAGGAGAGCTGGTCACAAACTGCTTCAAGAACAGATACACTTTGCAGGTAGGTCACCTTCTTATTTTGAAATATTTTTTAAGTCTAAATGAAGATAAGACAAATTGTAGAAATCAGAATCCAGTGATTTATGCTAGAGTTAAGCTTCTGGGAAAATAGAATAGAGGTTAAGGAAACAGCATGGATCTTAGAAGTCAGAGGAGCTGAATTCTCTTTCTGGCTAAGGGACAAGTTACTTACTGATGATGCTGAGTCTCACCAGTTTTCTGTTCCATAAAATGAGGATGTAAGTGCTTCTGCTTCAGAAAATTAAATGAAATAATGTATCAATAATTGTTTGGTACAGCTCCTGCCTGCCATACATCAAGTGTTCAGGTGGTAGCTTAATATGCTGGAGTTTTCTGTATTTAATTGTGATAATAGTTTCCTTTTTTAAAAAATACGTTTTTATTAATTTCAGAGAGAGAGAGAGAGAAACATCAATGATGAGAGAGAACTATTGATCCCCTGCCTCCTGCACATCCCCTACTGGGGATCAAGCCCACAACCCAGGCATGTGTTCTGACCAGAATCAAACTGTGGCTTCCTGGTTTGTGGGTCAACGCTCAACCACTGAGCCACACTGGCTGGTCAGTTCGTTTCCTTTGACAAAGGGGTTTCACATCAATAGTAACTGTCGGTGCTTATGACAGCACTGAGCGCTGAGTAATAATAACCTCCAGTTTTGGTCTTTTCCCTCAAAGAGTCCAGGTTCTTTCTACTTGAACTTTAGTGCAGGGTGGGCCTCACAACTAAGAGCTTTGCTTACCCTCTGAGAATGTCTCACTCTCATAGGTCAGTTTTTACGTGTTAAGAAACTTAAGAACGCATATTGCAGGCTCATACTCTGCTCAGTAAACTCTCAGTAATCCACTCTGATAAAATAGCTAAAATGTATACCATCTGCTACAGTAGGTCCAGAGGTCTCGATCACCCTGAATGTAATGTACTGTACAACTGAAATTTTGTTTTCTTAATCCCCAAATACACATAGAAGAACTCGTGAGTTCATACTTTAGTCCTTAAAGTGTCAATGCCCTTTCTTTGACCAGGTGGACACTCAGCAAGGGATATGATGTTGGCCATGACACTGTGGCCCAGGGGAGCTTGAGATCTGGCAGTAACCCTGCTCTTCACTGTCCTTGTATTTTTATTTAAGATACAGTTTTTCTTTATTCTTGTATTCTTTAAACAGTTTTTATATCAGCTTTGTTGAGATAATTTACATACAATGTAAGGAACCCATTGTGCCCAGGCCAGTGTGGCTCAGTTGTTTGAGCGTCATCCCATGCACCAAAAGATCTCCAGTTCAATTCCCAATCAAGGCACATGCTTGAGTTATGGGCTCCATCCCCAGTATGGGGTGTGCAGAAGGCAGCTAATCAATGTTCCATTCTCTCTAATATCAATTTTTTTAAAAAGGCACCCATTGTAAGTGTACAGTTTGAGTTATGACAGATGTATGCACCAGCGGAACCACCACCAAACTCCTCCCGTGGCTTCTTCCCTGGTTGGCAGCAGTCAGTCTCCCGAAGCATCTTTGTCTTCCCGAGGCTCTGACCCAGGCCTGCACTGTCAGTGACCAAGGCTTGTTGCTCCTGGATTTTCGTGTGTTGCTATGGATCATGGGAGAGAAGGGTGAAGGGATCCCGTGGGAAACGGGGGGGAAATGCTGGGGCTCTGGCGGGAGAAGAGCCTTGGCAGGCTGTCATTCACTGCTGTGCTTCAGGTAGCAGAACCTATCACGTGGTTGCCAGAAAGCTACCTCAGAGTGCGGTTCTATGGAAAGTAATCTATTTAATAATAAATAAATAGCCCTTTAAACCACGTCAGACTTTACACAGCAAAGTACTTAGGATTGAAAAATCACATGTAATTCAATATGCTCTGTGTCAGTAATGTACCAAAAGATAATTTTCCTTGGCGTTTGTGCAAAAACAAATTTGAAGATTGATGCTTAATGTTTCTGTATATACCAGATGGGTGAATATGTGTTTATTTGTATAAATGAGTGTGGACACTTGTGTGTATTTACATGGACAAAACACTTTAGGAGAAAATTCAAAATCATTTTAATGTTTGAAAAGGGGTGAAAGATGTCTTTCAGGAACACGTTACATTATAGTGCAATTGCACACACTGTCTTAAGTGCTTCAAATTTAGGCGATGTGTTTGTGGGGTGTTTTCCATGTATTTAAATTTGCCTCTCTTTCTTTTATGTGGGGGACCTCAAAGGCGTCTACATTCCAGATGGCGATCCTGCTTCAGTACAACACGGAAGATGCTTACGCGGTGCAGCAGCTGACGGACAGCACTCAAATCAAAATGGTATTCTTCCCTTTCTCCCCCACCTTAGTCTTATAGACATTGTGGGGAAGGTATGCATGGCTGTCTTCAATTTGAAATAGATATTTGCCTACAAATATGCTCTTATTCCAGGGTTTTAATACACTTTTTTTAAAAAGTTTAATTTAAAAAAATTTTTATAAGTTTATTTTGACTCAAGCCAAATTGACTCAAAAATAATAAGCTGGGGAGCAAGATCTCAAATGCTTGGGGAAATAATAGTTGTTTTTTGTTGTTGTTGTTGTTTGTTTGTTTTAAATATAGTTTTATTGATTTCAGAGAGGAAGGGAGAAAGAGAGAGAGAGAGAGAGAGAGAGAGAGAGAGAGAAAACATCGATGAGAGAGAAACATTGATCAGCTGCCTCCTGCACACTCCCTACTGGGTATGTGCCCGCAACCAATTCCGGTACATGCCCTTGACCGGAATTGAACCTGGGACCCTTGAGTCCACAGACCAACTCCCTGTCCACTGAGCCAAACCGGTCAGGGTGAGAATAATAGTTTTGCAGCTTCTTTTATGCATTCGAAATTAAGGAAGGGACCAGATTGGAGAAAGAGAGGTGGAAATTGGATTACAGGATAGTCAACAAGATTATGTGCTCTCTTGCGGGTTAATACCCCCTTCCAAGGGTATCACTCTGGCAACTCAAAGGTGTGTTAACCTAGATGCACAAGAACAGTGGGCAGGGCTGTCTTAAAACCTTGCACTAAAGTTATAGGCCTGGAGTGTGACTACCCACCATGACCTGATCAGCTAGGGATTTATGATCAGACCACCTTGTGAGGTTACTTTCCATAGAACCTCTTTTAAACTTAGTGTAACATAAACACGCACATAAATACATGACATAAATAAAAAATTATATATTTAATAATAAATAAATAGCCCTGACTGGTTTGGCTCAGTGGATAGAACGTCGGCCTGCGGACTGAAAGGTCCCAGGTTCGATTCCAGTCAAGGGCATGTACCTTGGTTGCGGGCACATCCCCAGTAGGAGGTGTGCAGGAGGCAGCTGATCGATGTTTCTCTCTCATCGATGTTTCTAACTCTCTATCCTTCTCCCTTCCTCTCTGTAAAAAATCAATAAAAAATATATTTTTAAAAAATATATAAAAATAAATAAATAAGAATAATATATATACAGTCATCATCCACAACGGCAAGTAGTTGTGCTTCTCCCTTTTTTTATTTGTACGCCCTTCTTCCCCCTTCCTCTTCCCTGACTGCTGTGTAGAATTTCTAGTACATTGTTGGATAGAAGTGGCATCCTTGTCTTGTTCCTGATCTTGGGGGAAAGTGTTAGCAGTTTCATTGTTAAGTACAGTATTAGTTGTGGGCTTTTCTTAAATGCCCTTCATTAGATTGCAGGAGTTCCCTTCTGTTCTTAGTTTGTTCAGTGTTTTTATCATGAAAGAGTGTCGGATTTTGTTAAAATGCTTTTCCTGCTCTGGTGAGATAACTGTCTTGTGTTGAACCACTGTTCATTCTTGGAATAAATGCCACATGGTGATGGCATATAGTACCTTTTATATTCTGCTGGGTTTGGTGTACTGGAATTTTCTTGCAGATTTTTGGCATCCATATTCATAAGGTATGTTGGTTTGTTGTTTTCTTGCTACATTTTTGTCTGGCCTCGTACAATGGGAATTAGGCTTCCAACATGGTCCAAAATACATCTTGAAATTCTAATGACAAAATGAGTTTGCTTCTTTGCACTTAAGAGTCTTTTCTCATTTCTCCTTACGTCAGAAGGAGCCTGAAGCCAGAGTGGAAGGTAGGTTGCCCCCTGACTTGGGAGGGCCTGCACCCTGGTACCTGCTTTCAGGCTGACACATCCTTTGGGTGACTCTATGCCAGGGTCTCGGCTAATGTTTAGTGGTGGAGCTGCCTCCCTGCGGGGGTGTGGCTGCTCTCCTCCCGCCCACGGTGGACACTCGTTGCTCAGTCAGATTTGGCTCATGATGTGAACCTGTTATGCCTGCTCGACATGGCGGCCGTGTTCCAGTGCTGCTCTGGGATTCCAGGCAGGTGACTGGCCTAGAGGCCTGTCACTTTGACAGCTTAGCCCCGTGCCCTCTGACCAGATGGTGCCCAGGAAGGTGAGGGCAGGCCCTTTCTGTTCATGCTTGGTGGGAAGGGGTAGGTGTGTAGGAATCTGAGTCACAGTGCAGGTCGGCTGGCCTGCATCTTATTTCAGGGGAGCATGAAGCTGTGAAGCTAAGGATGAAGTGCCCAACCAACCACTGTTCAAGGTCGAGGAGATGGCCCAGGGGCTACACGTGCTTAGAGGCTAGTGGACAGCAGGTTGCCACCCTGTGTCCGAGGACAGAGTGTTTCCTGCCCTGCTGGACTGCTCTGGTGTTTCTTCAGGCATCGGTGTCCAAGAGGAGCTGCCATGTATTTAAGTGGACAGGTTCCTGTTGAGTTAATTAAGGAATCAATTGTGCGTGGTCTCTGGTAGTTAAGTGTAACAGAATCATCAGTTTTCATCATTGGGTCATCAAGGCTAAAAAGGTGTTGATGTCACTTTCAGACGCAGGTGCTGGGGGACATAGTGGATTTAGGGAACCTCCAAAAGCACCATCTCTCTCTCTTTTCCTTCTGAGTATATTTGTCAGTTTAGGTGACTCGTGTATGTATGGCTTTTATTGCAAAGAAAGATGTATTTTCTCTTTAAGTTATTACCCCTTTTTCTCTAATTGCAGGACATTTTGGCACAAGTCCTACAGATTTTATTGAAGTCGAAGTTATTGGTATGTTTGTGCACTTTTTAATGTTAAGCTAGAAAAAGCCTTTTTCTGAGATTATGTAGTAACAGCTGTTTTCTTGTAGGTCTTGGAAGATGAAAATGCAAATGTTGATGAGGTGGAATTGAAGCCAGATACCTTAATAAAATTATATCTTGGTTATAAAAAGTAAGGAAATCTGATTAGATGGTCCTAGACCATAGCCTAGTCCCCTGACCCCAGCACATTAACTGCTGTCACTACAAATGGGGGTTCGGGATGGGGGGGTGAGCTCAGTGAGGCTAGATGGGCAGGGGTGGGAGTTTGATGGCATTTGATAATTCCAGGTGTTTCTCCATTTAACTCGTTTTGGTTTTTGTTTTTGTTTTCATTTGGCAAATAAGCCTCCTTAAAGAGCTCATTTAGAAGTTTGGACCTTTGTGTCCAAGTGTCCTGATTTTATTTCTCCTGACACAGTTGGGAGAACAGTGAAGGAACTGAATACCTGGTGTACAGGTGTCCCGTGACCAGTGGTAGAACCACTTGGTATTTGGTTGAGGGCTTGTTTGCAGAGCTCAGGGTGGGAGCTTCCAGGTCACCTCTCAGCCCCTGTCTGGGGAGCAGTTGGAAAGAGACAGGAACCTGGACTGCCTGCCTTTTCAAATAATTGTGATTGTTTCCTTGATTTTCTTGACAGTAAGAAATTAAGGGTTAACATCAATGTGCCAATGAAAACCGAACAGAAGCAGGAACAAGAAACTACACACAAAAATATTGAAGAGGACCGAAAACTGCTGATCCAGGTGACTGCTGCACGCACCTTGGCGGTGTCTCTCGGGGGAGGGGCTTCGTCCAGTCTGCTTGGCTGTGACTTGTCGGAAGCTTCAGGGTGATAAATGCTTCTGGGTGGGGTCGATGAAATACCAGCAAATAAATGTGGTTTGAATAGGAGGGAAGGAGACTGTTTAATGGAGGGGTTAGGCAGCTCCTATGGCTTGAAGACTGAATTTTCTCATTTTTTAAATGCTTTTATAGTTGGATTAAGTTATTATAATTGCTCATAAGACCAAACGTAGGTAGACATAAGTCCCTGCCAGCTCACCTGCAGTGTTTGCTACCTGTTAGGCCCGGGTCCATCCCATGCCTAGACACAGCTTCGGGGGCTTCCTTGCTTGTCCTTCAGAATTACTGAGGCTAAGTTGTCATTTCCCCTGCTCTGTTCTGCAGGCGGCGATTGTGAGGATCATGAAGATGCGAAAGGTCCTGAAGCACCAGCAGCTGCTTGGGGAGGTGCTCACTCAGCTGTCCTCACGGTTCAAGCCACGGGTCCCGGTCATCAAGGTACAGGAATTGCATAGCAGAGGCAGTTGGTTTAGAAAAGATGGAACTAAGAGCAGATCATTGAGTGTTTCCTAAAGAAGAAACTTGGTTATTCATATGCAAATTTCTACAAAAGAAAATGGGCTTAATTTTTAAGCTTCCGTTGGAATGCAGAGAGAGAAGTCAGACGTAAGTGCTGGGCTAGCTGGTTGTACCACCACCACCAGCTCAAGTGAGGCAGTGACCAGCCCGCCAGAGCCCCATAGGCTCACCATCCTCACTGCTAACACCAGCACTGAGCTCTCTAGAATGAATGGAGTTCCCGCTGTCCTGTGTCCCCATCACGTTAGGGAGACTCGGTCTCTGGTGTAGCATATATCAGTGTGTGTTAATCTCTGTTGCTATGTGGGGACTCCTCTGTGAGCACCATTCAGCTCATTTCTGGCTGAGTTGTTTAAAATAGAAAGAACAGCCAGTGCAGATAGCACAGTTAACAGGCGACTACCGACAGCCAGGGGGCCCAGGATGGGTCCTGGGGTTGCATTCAGAGCCAGCCCAGGAGCCAGTTTGTTCAGGGCATCCCATGACTTTGTTCCCTGCTGGTGCAAAGGGCGATTGTGGCCCAACTGGCTTCTGTAGCACCTGACCCAGTTCAGGTATGGGCATGCGTGGCTTCTGGGCTGACACTGAGGGGACTCCATTCAGGAAGGCAAGGGCTTGGCTACACTGGAGGGATATATGAGGTGACTGTGCTCCCTGCTGAGCTCTCAGAGGTAGGGGATCCATGGTGAGGGTGCCTGTCACTATTCTGCTAATAAATGTGTTTTTCTCCACTACCTCTTCCTTTTTCAAATAACACCCAGAAATGCATTGACATTCTGATCGAGAAAGAATATTTGGAGCGAGTTGATGGTGAAAAGGACACCTACAGTTACTTGGCTTAACCCTTGTAGAGGGTCTGACTGTGCCACCGCGGCCAATGTTCCTGGTGGGCAGGATGACGACCAGTTCCTAGCAGCTGCCTGCACCACTGGCCTCCCTTTTTAAACTGAGACCAAGACTCCCAGCAGCCGGTCTCAGATGTACATCAGAACTGCTCAGGATCGATACATTTCAAGTCTGTAAATATGGACACCGACGCCATTTAACCTAATTTAAGAACAGAGGGGAATGAACCGTCATGCTGAGGGCTGCATGCTACTGCATCTAGATCAATACATCGGCTACGTGCTAACAGCTGCCTCCGTCTCAGCAGCACTGAGTGTCGGCCACACTTTGAGAGGAGTCTGAATGGACCCGCGTGTAATCTGCTCTGAAAACCATTTGTATAGTGTGTTTCATTTTTTAATGTGTGAAATAAAGAAAATTAAAGGATTTCTGTACAAGTTGCATTTGGTTTTGTTTTCAGTTTTACTATTTCCTACATGTAAGTGAGAGATACAATGATTGTGAAAATTTACATCCCCAGTGATACAGGCTGCATTCTCTGGATCAGTGATGGCGAACCTTTTGAGCTCGGCGTGTCAGCATTTTGAAAAACCCTAACTTAACTCTGGTGCCGTGTCACATATAGACATTTTTTGATATTTGCAACCATAGTAAAACAAAGACTTATATTTTTTATATTTATTTTATATATTTAAATGCCATTTAACAAAGAAAAATCAACCAAAAAAATGAGTTTGCGTGTCACCTCTGACATGAGTGTCATAGGTTCGCCATCACCGCTCTTGATCTTAGCATTTTAAGCCCTCAAGACTTCTTGTAACTTTTTTTCAAACATGGATGCTCATTTCTGTGACTTCTTCTGGTGACGTGAATGTGGCCTATGAGATTCAATGACATGTTGATTCCATCTGCCACTTGTAAGGATGAAGGGGTTAATCCTTTGACCACCTGACCTGGGAAACAGGTGGGGAAACTGAGAAGAGGGAACTTGTCACAGTGAGTAGACGAGCTGGGAGTGAGTGAGTGATGTACGACCAGTGAACAAGTGTCAGACTTGGAGGTGCAATACAGCCCGGTGGCTCCTTCATTCTGGTTCGATCCAGTTGTTTAAATATAAGAAGCCACGGTTCCAGATGAACTCAGGCTGCTCCTGGGAAAATTCCCAAGATCCCAGCAAGGGGGGCATGAGTCCTCTCTGTCCCTGACTGAGGAGCCCCTGACAGCAGGACCAGAGACCAGCTGGCAAGCTACAGCTTTCTGGCACCTGCTGGTAAGTTGGCATGTTCTCAGCTGTGTCCCCCGGAGATCAGCTCCCAGCATTGGGAGCCTCTGTTCCAGCCTGCGCATCCTCTTAACTCCTTTGTTCTTTGTCCACAGTCAGTCCCACGGTTGACTTGTCCCACCATTCGCTTCCTAACCAGAGGACAGAAAAAAATGGAAGTGGTAGCAAGACCTCCTGGGAAGGTATGGCTCTGCTGCTCGGCTTTTGTAGGTTTGTTTTCTTCCTTAACCTCACAGGTTTCTTAAGGATGTGAGGACTTGAACATACTTACCAAAGTAGACCTATAATGGAGTTGGTTATAAACGTACAAGGCATAGCCAAAGGAATATGCAAAAGTTAGGTTCTTAAGAGTTTCTTAGAATAATCTGGCACATTCAGGTTAGTTTTAAAAGTTAAAGGTCAAAAACGTTACAGGTTATAAAAAGTAATAGTAATAAGACTAAGCATTTATATAATGGCTTCCACATTTATTTTGTATATTTTTCAAGTGATTCCCAGTATAAACCAGGACCACCCAGGGGACTTGCCCCTCCTACCCCACATCATAAAGATCCAGACCCCAAGACTGTCCACCTGGGAACCAAGCCCAAAGCTGCAGTTACTTTATTGGCCTCTGGGAGACACACCCAGGAGTCTCAGAACCCGTTTTAAACCCCATTGCTAGTGTGTGTCGAGTTCCTCTAGGACAGTGATGGCGAACCTATGACACCCGTGTCAGAGGTGACACGCGAACTCATTTTTTTGGTTTTTTCTGTTAAATGACATTTAAATATATAAAATAAATATAAAAAAGATAAGTCTTTGTTTTACTCTGGTTGCAAATATCAAAAAATGTCTATATGTGACACGGCACCAGAGTTAAGTTAGGGTTTTTCAAAATGCTGACATGCCGAGCTCATAAGGTTCGCCATCACTGCTCTAGGACAGTGGTTCTCAACCTTCCTAATGCCACGACCCTTTAATACAGTTCCTCATGTTGTGGTGACCCCCAACCATAACATTATTTTTGTTGCTACTTCATAACTGTAATTTTGCTACTGTTATGAATCGTAATGTAAATATCTGATATGCAGGATGTATTTTCATTGTTACAAATTGAACATAATTAAAGCATAGTGATTAATCACAAAAACAATATGTAATTATATATGTGTTTTCCAATGGTCTTAGGCGACCCCTGTGAAAGGGTCATTCGACCTCCAAAGGGGTCTCGACCCATAGGTTAAGAACTGCTGCTCTGGGATCAGGAGTGCCCTGGGGTGAGTACCTTGGCTAAGAACAGGAAGCAAAGGAACAGGGATGAGCTAAGAGGTGGTTACCCCACATCCTCAAATTCCATACCTGTACCTGCGCACTCACGGTAGG